TGCCTGTGTCCCAAGGTCATTCAAAGCAATGCGGCCAAGTGGCTAACGTTTCGAGATACTATAATGACCTATCGCGATTAAAATTCCGTTTGGAGTGTCGTGGCGACCAAGGCGAGGTCGAAACTGCAGTACACTCCTGTCTGGATGAGAATACCTTTTTGGAAGCGAGACTATGTGTAATTCAATTTCAAAGTAAGGTTTTCTCATATCATTTCGGGAAAATTAAATTACCAGTCATTCATCAATTTAGCGAAATAGGGTGAATGCAGTTCATACATATTATTTAGAGTTTGTCACAAAGATCTACCTATAAACGAAATATAGGTAATTATTTCATAAGAACTTAGTTACTTATATAGCAATTAAGTAACATCGTCTATTGCAATGGTACATATATTTGGATGTGGTCTGACCTCGTTTTTGCAACTTGTTCTAGTTGTCAGGGTGACTTAGTTGGATACACCTTGTCCGAAGTCATCTATTATAGTAAGTATCATAATTCCCAGCTTCGGACCGTAGACTTAGTACATTCGAGTCGTTTCGCTGATATCGTCAATGAGTCTTGCCATTCTAAACTCCAAGCCACAACTCGTCAAAGAGACAAGCGAAGTCAATCCCTTGACCACCTTCCTGTCGAAACGGTTATGCTATCATTCCACTTTCTCATCGAAAGGAGATTGAGGCCAAACTTGGGGCCACGTATCATGGTCTTCATATATATTTTTAATTATGTGCCTAATTAATCAATTATCTCACTGTCAAAAACATGATCACGGAGAGCCTCGGCTTGCTCTGAATGTGTCTTCAGTCCTGTAACTCACTAACGCCACTGGCGATATAATGGAAGGGTAACGCAGCCATGATACTCATGACGCTGCATTGAATTTGACTGGAGGTGCTGATGAGACTCAAGCACCAGCGCTTAAAGCCGTTTATGCTACCTTGGTCCGGTTCGTGTTAATCAAACATTTCACTTGGCCCAGCTACTAAAACGGCTTTATCATCGAAGGTGAACAACCTTACGACTTTGACTAATTCCCATCCTTATTCCACTATTTGAGCGTCACTTTCAAAGAAAAATATGCCTCCCTCAAATCACATTTAGAGCAGGAATATCAATAAGGAATACATATATTTATTCACTCATTTGATGCAAGTCTGTTTTAAAACCAGCATTACTTCCTAAATGAGCACTTAATCTCTCTGTTTACTTTCATGGGAGTTAAGAACTGACAGGAACTGATCGGAGGCATAAGCGTGTTGTTGTGGAAGAATTCCACAATCACTCTTAAAATTGCTCTATTCGACTTAGAGTCGCTAAGTCTAGTTCAAAAGTAACTTATGGTCTTAAAGCTAGTCTAATAATACAAAGCACAGCGCTAAATATGAAGACGTCTTCGGATAGATTCGGATATGTTGGAAAAGTTTTGGTTTATATGTAGGGTTTCGAGACTACCAGTAAATCGGTTATATGAACTCTATTAACCTTATTTCGTGTAAGGTGATGGAGCATTGGTAGTTGAATTTTTCCACAAGTATAGGAGTAGAGCTGACGATTCAATTTAGTTTCACATAGACTTGCTTTCTCAAAAGGTATTCTATTCCAGGGTGCACTGCAGTTTCGATCTCACATAAGTCTTATCAACACCCCCAGTGGGAGTCAAGCCATGACAGTGCAGCGTGAAATCTCGACACGATAACCACTCCGTCACATTGCCACGAGTGCCC